GTCCCGGGTAGTCAAAGGGGCCCTACTGACCTTCGTGACACACTGCAAAAGATTATTTTTAAAAATCAGTGTGACATTAGGGAAGCAGACGAGACGTGACGAAGCGCTGACTTCTAGCAATTTGAGGAATTGGTAATTGCGAGTGAAACAATATCTTGCTAAATTCTGCCGGCTTAGAATACTTCACCTCTCTCTCTTCCGTAAATGAAGCTGCGAGCACGATCTGGTTATCGAAACATAATATATTAGTTAAAAACATTTAGAGAGCGAGAAGGAGAAAAAAGGCTCTTCATTATAAGCAGAATGTTGGTCAGCGTATATTCGGCTAATTGATTTTCTGCTGGGAGAGGGGAGGGGAGCAGGAAAAGGCTCTTGCAGAGTGAGCGCAGAAAGATATGTAAAAAGAAAAGGGATAAGATGCGGTTCTTGGAAAACTCTAGGCGGTCAAAATCAGGCGGTTTTAGACTAGCGTACGCAAAGATAGCGGGCGTAGCGTTAGCGCGAGGGCGCCCTGTGAGTTTTAGAATAGCCCTTGTCCTCCGCGAATGTTACAACGAAAACTCGCAGGGACACCGCAGTACGCAGAGGCTTCTCGAGATCACCGTAAAGGAGATTTGCGGGCCATACGCTATCTCGGCTTTTTTTTTTTTTTTTTTTTGCGGGTGAAACGTAAACGCTAACCATGGTTAGCGTTAAGATGCGTGCGAAGGGGCAGCGACCGCAAGAGAAAGCGTACGGAAAGCTTCACGCACAATTTTATTATTCCAGGGCCGTATACGTCATACATTGACAACTTTGATCTCTATTCTCATTAATCCTCATTTCCCCCAGAGCAGGCCAGAAAAAGTGGCTATCGGTACCTGTATTAAACACGAGGGTTGACAATTTTCAAATGCATTACGGACTTGAGACGTTTGTAATTGATGCAAGCAGTAGGAGGGGAAGAGAAGAATTGAAAGGCAAGGAGGTCACTCCCTTCACCCCTCTCCAGCACACTGGGGGGTGGGGGTGAAGAAAATAAATAAGACAAAAAAGGAGAGAAAAAAACGTCGTCGTGGTACATGTGCGTCTGTTCATCGGACGGTTACAAGGGGTCGCTTAACCAGGTCGATCAAAAAAAAAAGTAGCAATGCTCGCGTCAATTCGCTGGCCTGCAATTCATCCCGAAGAACAATGTGGAAGGAAACAAAGAAGCATAGCTCTGCGTCCTGTCGGTTTACTTCGCGTTTTCATTCGTTCTTTCTTGCTCTAATTAGGTACGTCTCAAGTCGGTACTATCGGGAGGTTGATCTTTCTTCTTTTCTTTATCATCTCTCTCTCTCTCTCTCTCTCTCTCTCTCTCTCTCTCTCTCTCTCTCTCATAACTAGTGTTACGGGACGGTAAACACTCAGACTTCATTAATTCATCATAATTCGCGAATCGGGCGAGTGAAATAAATAGCGAAAGTACTTTGTCAAGTCGCCGATAATAGAGAGTTTTAGTACTGCGGAATGGTGCTACGTACGCATCACGCAAGCGCCTTGCGTTACGTGGCGTCGTTTGCCACTAATCGGCTTTTAGTACGCCGTAGTACCCGCGTACGTAACGAGCGTGAAGCGTGTTGCGTCATCTGGTAGATCAAAATAGAAGCACGTGTTGTTGACAGCCAATGTGAGCCAATCCAAGTGTTATAGCCAGATTATAGCCATATTTTAAGCCACAGAGCCGGTCGGTCGGTGCTTGCCTTCCACGGAGGAAGGAAAAAGGTAAGGAGAGGGCATGCCCGGCCGGCGCAGGGCGTAAAAAATGTGGCGGAAATGACATCATGGCGGCCATATTCAATAGGCACAATGGCGGCGTTGTTATGGTTACGTGTTGCGCAGTGAAGCTGGTCTAGCAGTGAGCGGCCGCGGCTGGCGGCGGAATGTGTGCCTCCCCAGGTCTCGTGCTGAGCCGTGGCGGACAATATCTGTGCTCTGCGCCGCGTTATTGGTTACGCAGTGTTCGTCTGGCTGTTACATTACTCTTAGCAACGTTTACAAATCTCTTTGTCCATCACGGGGTTTCAACAGTGCGTAGAACAAGTGCATATCCATGTGTCGTGCGGCGGATGACGCGGATGAAGCAGTTAGTGTTCAGCGAAATGGCGTTGGGCACCATGACGAAGCTGAATGATGACGAACGCCTTGCAGGTCAGTGACGGTTGAGCAGTGCTCCTGCTTGTGACAACGGACGACGCTGTTGAGCACAGCAAGACGCCGTGAGGACCATGTGCACATACGTAGTTTCGTGTTGTGTGTGTACAGTAACAACTTGCATGTGCGTATTAAAACACCTTTTCTGTTCCGCTTGGTACACTCTCCACCAGCATTGCATGTAATCTCAACGTAACAGCAACCACGTTCAACTGTCACTAGCACCGTGCTCAAAGTCACCACGGTCGCAGAATGCTGGCGCAGGTGAGTTTCACGCGGAACACGGACACAGTGGCAGGACGCTGCGTCAGTCGCGTGGCGGAATGCAACCGTAGAAGGCGCACGACCGATCGTGTTGTCTGTACAGTTGCTGAATTAATGACGTGAAAGCACTCGCCGTTGTCAGTGCATCTAGCGCGCGTTCTTTCGTAGTTGCTTCGTTGTCAGCGAGCTGTTACTCTTTGTTATTACTCGGACGAAGCGATTTCGTTGAAGGTGTCCCGCTGGCTCTGAGTGATGAGCCCAGTTCCATAAGTTTCGGATCGTCACGACACGCGCTGCGCAGCCCACGTGCTTTCCGAGCCGGAGAGGGAGTCGCGCCTTCTGCTTCGCATTCATATGTAAACAAGAGAGGAGAATTTGCCTACTCAATATGGCCGACTTCCGGCTTCATTGCAGCTTCACAACGAGTGACGTCAGGGCCTCTCCTTACCTTTTCCTTCCTCCGTGTTGCCTTCGATGCCGCCATTTTGCAAAACGAAGTCTCGCGCTGTCGCGAACTTGTTCGAGAGCAGCGCGATCAGCTCATACGTATACGCACGCACGCATCTCATGCGTGCGTACGTAGCGGCTGCGTACGTAACGCGATACGTTCGCGTTGCGGTCTGCTCATGCGCACTACGCAGAACGTGGCGTCCTTACGTACGCAATGCCGCCACGTACGCAGCGTACGCAGTAGTAAAACTCTCTAATGTACTACGCCTTTGTACGCCTCTGTCGTCGGCCCTTGTTCCGGCAGCGGTGCGCGATCTTTACGAGCTCATCTCCAGGCGACCTGGACTCTCGTCGCAGGCGACTTTTCTTCATTTTTTTGGTCGAGTAGCAAGTCGTTTGACGGTGGTATCGGCGACCTCGGCTCGCCACAAGGGCCACGCGGGTCCGCTTTCGCATCCTGCTGCGCGGCACTCAACGCGCGGACGTTACACTTTTAACGGCCGACGCTGCCGCTGTGTCTACACCTTTCGCGAGACGCGGCATTTCTCGTTACATCCCCAGAGTATACGAGCTCCTTTCCCGTACTTCGGGGAAGCGGCGAGCGGTTTGTGTGTGCACGTCGTGCACCGTGTGAGTGCGCCATGAATGTGCGTATATATACGATGCGCCAACTGTTGCACCATCGCGGACGCGTTCTTGTGGGAAGCCGCACGCGCGAGCGTTAGGCCTAATCTTTACGCGTTCCGTGGCTGCCTGCGACTTACACACTATACTTCACGAATGCGTTTCAGTGCCGCCATGTTGGGCGGTAAACCTTTGTGCTTTGTATCTTTAACCACTATACGAACATGTGTCACGATAGACGTATTAAAAGGGTCGGGTTAGTGCACACGATGTTACATGGTCTTATCAATTCACGTCGCGATATTTAAAAAACAAAAAAAAACAAGAAAACATCGGCTCAATTGGGTGAGATGGCGGCACCCCCATGGCGATGGAGCTACGGAATACGTTGCCAGGCATTGTAGTAAAATGCAAGCGACCTTTGCCAATTCGAAAAAAAAAATTATTGGACAAGTTTTTGAGTGATGGAGCTGCCTGACGATTATCCCGCACGTTTCCTTGGTTTTGAGTTTCTTTGTTTTCTTTCTCCCAGCTGCGTTTATAATGCGTATCCAGGCATTGCTGTAAATGCAGGCAGTGTTTGCCTATTTGAAATGGGTCACACATGTATTAATTGATTGCGCTGCTACCTGACATAGATATATATTGTTTGGTTTGCGTTTGGTTGTACCCTCCCTGTAAGAGCCCTCAAGTGAGGGCTGACAGTATTACGAAATAAATATAAAGTAAAATGAAAGCATATTGGGAAATGGCGAGACGGGTAACCTGATCGGGTTCGTGCCTAAAGTATGCCGACCTTGACTAAACTGGAAAAAAAGATTGTTTTATCTAGCACCGCTTAAACAACGTTGCATCTGTCAGTCCATTATTTTCTCTTTTCCTTTCCTTCCCTCTTTATCCCACTCTCTTCCTCTCTGCATTTCTACCTCTGTTGTGTCTTATTCTTTTTATCTATTTCTCTATTCTCTCCTTTTATCTTTCTCCCCCGTTTATCTCTCTCTCTCTCTATTATACGCTTATTTTTTATTCTTATCTATCTCTATTTCTTTCTCTCAGTTCTGTCTCTGTCTTGCTCCCTGTTTTTTCTACCTCTGTTTGTTTCTCTTTCTTTATCTGTGTATACTTCTTTCCCTTACTTTTCTCTTTCTTTTAATCCCATTGATTTCTCTTTCTACATCTTCCCTTGTCTTTTTTGCTTTCTTTCTATCTCTCTACATCTCTCTGTACTCGTACATGGGAGTATCCTTCTGCGTATCACTGACTCGGCACAGCAACGCCGGGTAATCTCTCGCGCGTTGGAGGCCGCGGTGTCCGGGATCGCCGCTGACCTCCTCTAAGCAGCGTAACCGATCTCTCGGCCTGTTCTCCTCTTTGGGGAGTAATAAAATTTTGATCATCATCATCATCGTTCTCTTGTAACCCTTGTTCTTGCACGTAACGCCAGCCTAATCGGTAGGTGAGCGTTCACGCCGGACCGACGTGGCCCCGCCACGGTGGTCTAGTGGATAAGGTACCCGGCTGCTGACCCGCAGGACGCGGGTTCGAATCCCGCCTGTGGCGGCTGCATTTCCTATGGAGGCGGAAATGTTGTAGGCCCGTGTGGTCAGATTCGGGTGCCCGTTAAAGAACCCCAGGTGGTCGAAATTTCCGGAGCTCTCCACTATGGCGTCTCTCATAAGCATATGGTGTTTTTGGGACGTTAAACCCCACAAATCAATCAATCAATCAGCCGGACGGACGTGTTTTGGCAGCGAAGCAAGATCGCGAAGAAGAGGGTGGAAAGAGGTGCCATTGAAGACCATCTTTCAAGTCATGAAACCTAACCTGACCCGCCAGTTTTTTTTTTTTTTTTGTTCGCCCACCCCTCATGCAATGTCCCATGTGGGACCTTTGAGGTATTATGAATAAATAAATGAATAAGTTATTCCGGCAGAGGTATTGCCGGCAGAGTTATTGCCTTTCGTGCGCTGGAAAGATAGAGGCGATTCGTTGCGATGATAGTTTTCTTTGTTTTTTTTTTTTGCGATTGCATAACGACAAAGCGAAAAGCTCGAAGGACCAATCTTGGTAGGAAGTGCGCATGCAACTATCGCGCTTGTGTTGTGTGTTCTGTGTAGTAGTTGCTGCGCTTCCTACCTAGATGCATTCATACCTAACTGGCCCGATACAATTGTTTATATCGAAGGACCAACTGTAAAAAAAATGCTTTTCGTTGTGGTATACAGACCGATGCGTCCGGACGATCAATCTAAAAGTGGGAATAAGTTTTATGTTCATTGCTTTCAAACAAGCGTCAAGGACCGTATAGACAATTTCCAGGGGTGATGGAGAAACCCTCGGCACCATTTTTCTGCGTCTCGTGTTTACGGAGCGACTGCACATTCCTCTTCGAATCGGTCATGGTTTCGGTGATCGATTACAGGCTCAATAGACAATCCGCACGTGTTTTCCACTGACATTCCACACTTTCCTCTTCGCTCTTGGTTGATTCATCAATGATTTTCTCCTGCTTAATATAGCTAACCGGACGCGCGTACGTGGTTGACCTTCTTAGTTACCTGGTAGCTTTTGCTGCCCTCTGTAGTAACTACAAACCTGATCACAAACGGTGTTCTCAACATGGCAATGCGCTGTGAAGGTAAATATTTGTTGACACCTCCTCTGGGACTGTGCACCACCGCCGGGTAACCAAGAAGTAATGCCAAGTGCCATAAGCAGCAAAATCGTCAGCCGAGAGCCAGGCAACCAAAGAGACGTGGTCCAGCACGTGCTTAGCATCCTGGAACGCCAGCGGCCGAAAGCTGGCGCCCACACGGGTTTGACGCGAGTAGGTTGCTGCTCCGGGACGTCCGAGCACGCTAGTGTCTCGCTTTAATCCCCCTACCCCTTCACCTTTATGCCGGATCGTCAATAAAGTTGTTTCACTCACTCACTTTCAGTTTGTGTGGGGGGTCATTTTTTTTTTTCCCTTGGTTACCTTATTCCCGAGGCGAGCACGATATAGATTACACGAATACTATGCAACCGGAACGCTAGCGTTTGTGCCTCGTGAAAGGCCCGTTGCTGGTGTAAACATGGAGCTGTGAAACCTTACGCATGTTTGAATTGGCTCGCTTGACTCTCATTGGCCCCAAGTAATGGTTGGAATTTCAACCCCTGTAATTATTGTGTGTAATTATTTTCACTTGTTTCAATACTGGCCATGAAGTTTTGTAGTGTTGGAATATTTTGAATTCTAAAAGTACCGTGTGAACTGAATATTCGATGTTTCGGACATTTTAAAGAAGCCCTTTTTAAGAGTAATTACAATGTGCCACAATCATACAAACAGTTCAAGAACACCAAAGAAGTGCTCCGTACATGCTGCCTTTGGTCAGCCATATCTTGTTGAACGCGAAAGTTTGCGAGCATCGCCAGAGACGGCAATTTTCAGTCTGAACGATGTAAATGCAAGGACGTTCCAAAAGACGAGTGAGTTCATTATTATAAAGTTATGCACTTCAACTTAACAAGGTATGAAAAAAGACTACCTATCGTTTGGCCACCTATTGCATAGGTGGCGAAACGTCTGTTTAGCTTTTGTTATATTTTCGGACGGAGTACATATTTTCAATCAACCGTGTAAACGAGGGAGCGTAAAATGACGGTGCTCGATGCAGCACTTACTCAGCGGTTAATGGAACGCCAGTGTAATTCTTCTAAATGTACACTTGTATCATTACTACTGTTTTTAAATCTAATTTAGTTCCTCTAAATCCCACGCTAAGTACCACCCTATATACAGGTCGTTTTTGTGTAGGAAGGCATCGTGTACTTATAAATACCGTGCTTAATGCAGCCACACTACCGTGGAACTCAAGGATTCGCGTATAGCAAGGGCAATTCACCCTGTGATTCCGTTGGCAATTCATTTTATTGACAGTCTATTGGATTGCCGTGACGGCGTCCTCGTTACCACGGCGTGGGCATCATCAGTTGAATATTTCAGAAATGCCTTTTTTTTTTTCAGCGAAAGCTGTTATGAAATCGCAAAATGGATCACGCGCCGTAGTTGTCTGCCACCGGCACTATCGCACCAAATAAATAAAAAAACAAATAAAAACACCAAGGACATAGTGCGATTCAAACACGGGTTCACTGAGTGCCAGTCCAGCATTCTATGCCGAACATGTATTTATTGATTGTCACTGCTGAGCGCCCCACCGCGGTGGTCTAGTGGCTAAGGTACTCAGCTGCTGACCCGCAGGTCGCGGGATTGAATCCCGGCTGTGGCGCGGCTGCATTTTTGATGGATGCGAAAATGCTGTAGGCCCGTGTTCTCTGATTTGGGTGCACGTTAAAAAACCCCAAGTGGCTTAATTTCCGGAGCCCTCCAGTATCTCATAATAATATATAGTGGTTTTGGGACGTTAAGCCTAACACATCAATCATCAATCATTATCAAAATGCTGAGCTATGCCGGCGCTTGGGACTCGCTGTCAAACTTGATGTGGGGAAAACAATTTGATTAATTTAAGCAATAAAGCGCTTTAGGATATCAAAAGAACTACTGCAGGCATCACAAAATTCGAAATGCGTAACGAGTGGGTCATCTAATGTTTCCACAGATTACAAAAGCTTGTTCTTCGTCACCTATTAACTGTGGCGTATACCCGCTTCAGGCGTCATCGTCATCAGCCACTTCATGAACGAATTTCGCACAAATTTCGTTCTAAGTCTTTAGCGCACACACTTCTCCGAAGAATGATGAAGAATGTCACGTACATGCCGGCCTATAGACTACACCGAAATTATGATTATTTTTGGCGTAGTGGGTACCCAGCGAGTGTGTTTGCAGCAGTTACCCAAAGCCTGTTTAGAAAAGGTTTTGAAAGACCGTTCTTCCAGCTTTCGCTGTGACTGTGCTGCGCGTTCCACGTAGGCCTGGCGATTTTTTTTTTCATTTTTTTTGTGATCTGAGGAGGAAGTTATTGTGATTTATTCTTGGTTACTTCTGCAGTATATATTGGTTTAAACCTTGTTAGTTCACTCTGCACTGGTTTTGAGCATTGTCGGCCTTGTTTTATAGGCTTGTATACATGACTGCGCGACCATATGTGACATGACATATAGTGTATGTGGACGAGAACCCGGCCCCTCCAAAAGCGCTGTGCACTTAAAGGGACACTGAAGAGAAAAACGATTTTTCACGTAATAGTGAATCACAACTTCACAATCCCAAAAACACCACTCCTACCACGACACGATCGCTTTTTTGGAAAGCGTGAAAACGCGGGTATACAGACGCCGCCTTGGGATTCTCGCACCAAACACTGTGACGTCATCAATTTCGAAGGAGCCTACCGAGTTCTACGTATAGCTTCTAGTCAACAAAATCGAAGCTCATGTAGAAGTGTGGAAGCTTGGGCTAGTTGGTATGACATGACGATATTTACAGTGCGAGAACAGAATGACGACGAAGAGGCAAGAAGAGACAGTAGCAAGAGTGGTCCGCTTAAAGATGCTTTGGCTAACGAGTATGTCATCTCATTTGGGATTTATCCAAATGAGATGGCAGACTCGTTAGCCAAAGCATCTTCAAGCGGACCACTCTTACCTATTTTACCTGATTTCGCCTATAAGTAACAGCACTCAGATATAGAAATGCTTGTTTGCACAAGGAAATAGAAAAATCGTCATCGGATAACGTCAAGAGACTTCGTACATCTATATAATATTTTGCTGGAACAAACAGTGGTGTGTATCTTGGCAGTTAGAAATTACAATCACCAGATTACGATGCAGAATTCCGCACCTGAATTATTTCCTGCATAAAGCTGGACTCACAGCATCTCCGTTATGTCTCCTTTGCAAGGAATCAGAATCAATAGATCATTTATTTTTATCCTGTCAACGATATTCTGATCAAAGGAAAAGTTACCTGGTCAAACCAATTGAGAAGCTTGGTTTTAAAATAAACGTGGCAGTAATTTTATCCTTGTGAGGGATTACATTAGGTTATAGCCACGCTATAAGGTTTGCTCTGCCATGTGTGCGTACATAATGGCAACAAAAAGATTACCTTGTTAGTCTATTGTTATTATTATTTCCGGCTACGAGACTTCCTGAATGCCTGACTCATAACTAACTGACTTGATTATCCCGCCACCCGGTTCTTGGCCGACCCCCCTTTGTGGGTGGGTGCCAGCAGAGCTAAAGGCTCATCATCATCAAGCCCTCCGTGTCTCTGTCCGAGAAGGAACTAAGGTTCCTGGAAGGTTTCGGGGCGCGCAAGTAGTAGTATATTACTTGTACATTTCTGTTTCGTTTCCTTATAGACTTTTCTTTGCCTTTTTCTGTGCTTTTGTTTTTTTTTTGCTTACTCATGTATTGCTCTTTGTGCCACATGGTTTTTGTCACATAGCTTTCGGGCTCTGCACAATAAACTCAGTAGCGCTCATGTCCATCGTGTCCTTCTTGTCTTTTTGTCGTCGTTCTGTTCTCGCGCTATGACTATCGAAGCTCATTGTCATCTGTTGGTACCATGGGCCAAGCATACGATGCTTCAGCCTACTTCATTA